AATATATTTAATTTTATTATAATTATAATACTTATATTTTTCTATAGCTTCTAGCTTTATAAAATCTATATATATTTTAAATTCTATAAATAGTAATAGAATCTATTATATTCTCTAGTTAAATTTATTTTTAATATAATACTAATTAATATATTTATTCTCTTTCTATTATTATTTTTTATATAGATAGTTATTAATTTATATAATATTTACTATTATATAATATAACTAAGTATATATAAATAGATATTAAATTAATATTAAATCTATATTATTTCTAATAAAAATTTCCTATARTAGTAAATATATATTATAYTTATAGARATAAATTAAYWTATAATCTTAAAAGTAATTAACTTTTTTATTTCTAAATATATATAATTCTAGATTAAATTAAAATAAACTCTAATATATTAATACTAAGCCTAATCTAATCTAACTAATATTCTAATTTAAATATAATTAAAAATAATATAAAGTTTAAATAATTAATTCTTAAGAGTTATCTCTACTCTTATTAACTTAATATAGTATATAATATACTGAAACTATAAGTTATATATTAAACTATAGTAGATCTATATAAGAAAGTAGCTATTCTTAAGATATAGTATTTACTTAAACTGATCTTAATTCTCTATAAGTACTTATAATAGCTATAGATACTATAGGTAGTAGGCTATATAATAAAGTAATAAACTAAGTAGATATAGCTACTGGATTTATATTATTAAAAGTAGCTTTATTACTATAAATAGATCTTTAACTAATTAGAGAGATATATTATAAATATAGTTTATAAATAGCTATATTAGATTATCTTAGATAATAGTTATTATTACTTTAAGAATCTTATTAGAAATATTAATTAAATCCTAAGAGATTAGAATATTTATATTAGATATTATAACTATTTAAGATTATACTAGTTATCTAGTAATTAATTAATTAAGTAATTAATTAATAGTATAATTTAATTAATTAATTAATTAAAATAAGTTTTAAAGTTCTAATAGAAATAAAAGATAGTTACTATTATTAGATAATAAGCTTCCCCTCTTAGGGGCTATAGCTATAGCTAGGCTATTTATATATCTAGCTATATAAATAGCTCCTATTATTAGAGTTTTTAAGGTATTAATACTTATATCCAGACTAAAAGTATTTAATTTTAACTTTATCTTATAGTATTAAAGGTTTAGATATAAACTACTAATTATATTCTTTAAAAAATTATATAATCTAGTTATATATTACCTGATCTTAGAATATACTTTTATTTATAGTAAAACTAATAAAAAAATATATAGTATTTATTATATATCTAAATAGATCTTTAGATTTATTTATCTTAAAAAGTTAATTCTTAACTTCTTTTTTAAATCTATTATAGAATATAGCTTTAAGAAAGCTATTATTTTAATCTAATTAGATTAAGATTTCTTTAAACTTAATAGTATATTCTAATACTAGTTCTATCTAATATAAGTTTTTAAGATTTTTAATAACTTATTATTCTTTATCTATTTAACTAAATATTAAAATAAATATAATCTAAAAGTTCTTATAATTAGTAAAAATATTAATAGTTTTCTATTCTTATAAACTTAGTATAGTTTTATTATTATATTAGTTCTTAAGATAGATCTAGAATTATTATTTTATAATATTATTAAAATATATTTCTATAAATCTAATTTTAATTTTATTTATTATTAACTTAATTAGAAAGAATTTAAAATATATTTAAAATTAAATTTTAAATTCTTTTAGTTTATTAGTATTATCTAAAAAGAGTTCTAGAGAGATTAGTTATATTATCTTCTTTTTATTCTTTATTTCTCTTTTCTTAAGTTATTTAATTTAGATTATAAACTATTATATAATCTCTTAAGCTATTAGAGCTTATAGAGTATTATTTAGTAATTTAGTAGAGATTATTTTATCTTTTTAATATTATATAGTAATTAAAATAAGATAATTAATTAAATAAGAGTTATTAATATATAATAATTAGATAATTTATACTAAATAGAATTTAAAATAAATTAGAATTAAACTAATTAGAGTATTATTTTAAATAATATAATTAGATTATTATAAGCTATATAATATAAATTATTATTAATATATAAGTATTATAAAGTTAGTAATAATAGATATATAAATAATTATATTAATAACTATCTAAAGAAGTATTCTAACTAATAAAATAAAGATATATATATAATAGTTATAGAATATAAGAAGTATATTACTTTTAATAATCTAGTTATATTTTATAATAGGAGTATAATACTTCTATTACTTCTGTTCTTTAGATAGTAGGATATATATAACTATATAATCTATTATAGAGATCTTTATTTATAATATTACTTTAAAATCTATTAGATAAATATATCTAATTAAGATATAGAGCTAAACTTACTTTTTTTAATAATTTTATTTATTAATAGAGATAAGAGAGTATAAATAAAAGAGATAGATATAACTAATTATTTTTCTCTAGAATAAAATTAATTATAAAACCCTATTTTAAGATATATAGATCTTTATATATAATATAATTAGAAAAGAAATAATAATTATTCTATATATAGTTAGTTTTAGAATAATATTCTAGAATAATAAGAATTATTATAGGGATATATATATAATAAAAAATAACTATATAGAAGAAGAAAAAAGAGAAATATTTAGTATTTTAAAATAGGGATTATTATAGATAGGGTATATATTTATAATTACTTATTATTAGAATAACTAATTAAACTATAGTAGTAGAATAATTTAATAATAAAGTATATATATTAGTATAATAAGTCTATACTATAGTATATATATATATAATTAAAAAGTATAATACTTAAAGAGTACTCTTTTTAATAAAGATATAAGGAATTAGAATTATATATATTTATTTTTTATATTTATAGAGATTATAAGGGGATTTATAATAAAAAGAGATTATTTATATAGAATAAGAAAATAAAAGACTATCTATATTAGTATACTAAATATCTATAATAAGTAGTTACTAACTATAGGCTAATTATAGAGTAGTTAGCTTAATTATAACTACTCTAGAATCAGCTTTATAACTAGCTTAGTTCTATAGTTAGAATAGTAACTTAATTAATTATCTTTATAATCTATTTTATCTATAAGTATATACTTTAGAAAAGCCTTCTAATACTCTACTAAATAATTTATAATTCTTTATAATTTTAGATAGAATATTCTTAGATATATATCTAAGAATAAACTTAATATTTAATTTATCTTAGTATTAGAAATTAGAAATTAATTTAGTTTTATTTTCTTATATTTAAAATAATATTATTTTAATAGAATACTATTAATAAGAAGAATAAGTAAGACTATTTATAATAGTATAAGAAGGGAGAAGAAGATATAGAAGAAATTATAGTTTAGAAGATAGTATTAATAAAAAAAGCTTTTAAACCTTTAATATAATAAAAGATAATACAGTAAGGGGTCGAGCTACCATATTCTCCAACTACTCTCCCTTTAACCAGCCAAGCGAGGTTGTCAAGTTAGCCACCAAGCAGCTCGCCAACGGCGCCAAGCCTGCTAAGTCGGAGCCCACTCCTGGCCCATACTGGTCCATCGTGCTCGAGGTCTCCGAGTCCCCGCACAAACCTGTCAACCAGGAGACCCTGCTCGAGGAGAGTATCCGGGGTTGATCAACACCGACTTGCTCAAACCAGAGGACGAAATTGTCAGTACTTACGTCCGTCGTTTCGACCACGGATACCCTACGCCTACTTTGGAGCGCGACGGCGCGCTGACAGAAGCGCTGCCTTACCTATACGTCAAAGACATTCTGTCACGAGGCCGCTTTGGAGCTTACAAGTATGAGGTTAGCAACCAGGACCACAGGCAAGTCATCCCTGCTGATGCAATTAAAAACTCGTCAGCTAATACATCTCTGGTAGTTTCATGCAAGGTGTTTAGGCTGTTGATAACATCATGTATGGCGGTCTAGAGCTGACTTTTTCCAACCCTGATTTTGTCAATACACGCAAGAACACCGAGCGTCGTCTTTCAGGTATCAAAGGTGCTCAGGAGTGAAGCATTATAGATAGCCCTATCAATCGTTATCACTCGAGAACGAAACTCATTTCAATATCCTCGAGAGGGAGCGAAATTCTTTTCTGGAGGGAAATTGCTTTGTGTGGGAGTACTCAATACAGATGTTTCTTTATTCAGTGATAAGAACCATTAAAACAAGAAACGCACCTTGAACTAGGTGAACTATTACTCTTCTCATTATAGCCTTTCGCTCAACATAGCTTGCCTTTCTTCGTAGTGTGTATTGCAAGATGATGAGATCAGGAAAAAGTATCAGACAAGCCCATGACATTTCCAATTGTTCGCCTTGTGTGACGAACGTAGCTATCTTCAAATGCTCCGGCTCTTTATTTTCGGTTAGAAGCCGTATTTCTATCAACAATAACAATCGGGCAACGCTATGAATGAACCGTAGAAACTACACGTAGATATGTCGAGATCCAGCAGCCCTGCAAAAATCTATACTCATCGTCGTTCTACCTTATAAGTGAAATGCGGACCATCTTTTGGATCTTGAGTCTACCTTGTTGAATCGAAAGCATGAGGCTGTCACTAGCATAAGTAAGAGTCTCCATGTCAGACGCCCAAGTCCTTTGTGAATTGTGTGAGACTGATTGTTACAATGGCAACCATACAAGCCAATGTGCCGCTTCCCCCTCCTTGTCCGACGAGGCTCAACCGTTCTACGCCTGCTCGGAAGACATGGGCGCAGCCGAGGTTCACCTGAGGGGGCTGATTGCTGCCATAGACTATTCCCAGGTGCCCCAGATGAGCTCTGGCGCGGACGAACGCACCTTTGGCCAAGAGCTCACAAATCGTCACTTCCTCCTGCATATCACTAGTCTCTAACCCTTTTATTATCTTGCCAACGTTTCTCTAAGGTGTTTCGAATGGGTTGAGGTCTCAAATCTTTGACTCTCACCGGTCCTCCGGGTGGTCCTGGAACTGCTCTCGCATCATTGAGCCCAAATGACCAAGCTAGGACCAAACTGTGGCTTGCAACCGTGGTTGAGGCGCTGCGACTATTGCCATACGTTTTGATTCCGATAGAATCTACCAGCTACGTGACCAAAAATGATCATCGCCCCGACGGCATTGAAGAAGCCTCAATGTTAACTGAGTTCATGGACGGGGGTGGAGTAAATGAACCATGTCGCAGAATACATCCTGCAAAATGAGCCGCGGGCGGATGGTGCGACTATGACCAATGTCTTGAAAGAAACCTGCGATATCAATTTCAGATTCCTCATGATACTCAGGAGAATCACTTCAAACCTAAGGAATATTCAAAAAGACACTCGAGTTCTCACAGTGGGGGTTATGTATTGCTACCTTGGTAGTCTGTCCTAAAGCAGCATGATGGATTGGCTCGTGGTCAAGGAAGATGTCGAGGAACGTTTCTCCGTCAGGGTAACTTTCACATCGAATCAGGATCCCGGAATGCGCAATCCGATCTTGGACAACCATAGTCTAAATTTTTAGAGCGTTTATAGTGAGCTGCAAAGTCCCTGTATCCTAGAGTACCTTACACATTAAGGAACTTTAGTGAAACCTTTGTTTAGGGTAGGACATCTAAAAGAAAATCTTGTGGGGAATGGATCTATGATTACAGGCCGGATTTAAAGTAAGCGGGAGCTACGGGCTATTTAGAATGTCCGTGTTTCAGAAAAAAATGCCTCCATACACCATCACGATGCCTGTACTGTCAGCACAGAATGATGAATACCTTGACTCTGCATGCCCATGGCGAGTCGTCTGCACCATTCTATTTGTCAGCCTGCATTTATCACGGGCTTCTCAAAAACCGCGGAAAATAAGCCGTCATCGCTTGGAATAGTAACTTGTCCGAAAAGTCCGGGACCGAAACGCTCCACACAATTAATATACAGCGAAAATACGACCAGCCAAATTCAGATATTGTCAAGTATAAATTGGCTGCCACGTCCCTTTGAAATGTTGTCCGAAGCAACAAAGCACATGTGCTTGCCCTCACCTGAGCAACATGATAGCTCTCTACGAACAAGCTCCCCTTTGCATTGCTGGCTTTGCCTTGGTAATTGTCTTCGTCACCGTAGGCTTCCGCGTCAACCCGCCACAATATAGAGTCTTTGGATTGACAGACTAACCAAGGATGTCGGCAGTATACGTGGCAGGTGTTGAACAACCCCGTCTCTAGGGTTCCCGGCCCTTGGCACTCGAAATGGACTAGCCTTGCGAGCAAATACCAATTCCTCTTGGGCAAAGAGGCTTACTATGTGCATTCACTACATCAAAAATACGGTATATTTGGGTTACGTGTACTGACAAATATACTATCTGGCTAATTAACTGTCGTCAAATCAGGCCCAATAGTTCGCATCGGGCCTAGTGAGGTTGATATTAGCGATGTCCAGGCTGTTCAGACGATCTACGCCATCAAGTCGGAATACACCAAGACAGAATGGTACAATCGCCTGACATCGTTGCCTGTTAGAAACCTATTTGACGCCACTGATTTTGAATATCATCGGCGCCATCGCCGGCTATTAGGTGCAAACATGACAGAGTCGTCACTAAAGACGTTTCTCCCTATAATCGTACCCAAGGTTGACCTAGCTATCCTTCGCATGCGGGAGGAGATGAAAACTCGTGGGGTTGTCGATGTCTGGAAATGGTGGCTCTTCATGGCGACAGATATCATTGGCGAGTTGACTTTTGGCGAGTCTTTCCAGACGCTTGAGCAGGGACGAGTAAGTGATCCATTTTAGCATCTCCGCTTGCGATACTAACCGCAGAATGCGGTCTCTCGTAGAAAAGCGCCTATACCGAACAGCTCGAGTTAGTGGCGCCACTGAGCGCCATGCGGTCCATCTTTCCAAACCTAGCAACCATTGTCAAGGCGTTACCCATTCCTATTTTCAGGCAGGCAGTTGAAGGCACGAAGAAGCTTCGCCAGTACTCGATGGACTCGCTGTCTCGACATCAACGCCTTGTCAACTCGGATCCCACTCGGGCAAAACAATCTCTTTTTACCAAGCTCTACAAAGCCGTTGATGAGAACGAACTGACTTTTGAGGAGCTACTAGCTGAAGCTCAAGGCTACATTGTTGCCGGAAGCGACACAACAGCCAACACCCTTACATACCTTGTCTGGTCTGTCGCACGCCGACCGGACATCAAAGCAACCTTGTTAAGCGAGCTCAGACAGTTACCTGGAGACTATAGAGAATCTGATCTGCGCCACCTTCCTTATCTCTCCGAGGTCATTGAGGAGACCCTGAGGATGTACTCTGCCGTCCCCGGCGGTTTACCGCGCAGCGTTCCTGTTGGAGGGGCCGAGCTTGCTGGGCACTGGTTACCGACCGGTACTACTGTAAGGGCGCAGTCCTACACCATGCACCGTGACCCCTTCGTGTTTCCCAACCCGGACGACTTTGATCCGTCAAGATGGAGAGAGCCTACCAAGGCTATGTTGGACGCTTCGATGCCCTATGGTAGGGGGTCACGAGGTAAGACAGGAAGCGAATCATCGAGCAGGTTTATGCTAACCTACATGATGTGTAGTTTGTATTGGAAAACATCTTGCTTACATGGAGCTTCGTCTTGCTACCGCACGCTTCTTCCTCGCGTTCCCAGAGGTTAGCGTGTCCGCAAAGGAGGGTATGAATGACGAAGACATGGTGGCCAAGGTCTTTTTTCTTCTATTCCCACAGGGCAAACGATGTCTGCTGGAGTTGTGAGTAAGTGTGGGTGATGACATCTTGCTTCTATAGCCTTTGTGTGGAATAACAGAGATGCTCAGAAACATCAAGTACAAAAAACCGCTACCTGAAGGGATCTTTTACAATTCAGTTTATTATCGCAAATGCGCTCGTTACAACCGTGTGCCGTCCAATTCCTCTGACCCTAGCATTCTACGACGTTCACCTATTTAGTAAGGACCCATTTAGTAAGGATGACATCAAGAATCGTTCGTCTGTCCAACACCTTTTATATACACTGCTCGATCCCTTGAGACCATTCTTTTCCAAGCAAAAGGGAAGAGTCAGCGTGTTCGTTGTATTAAGATAGGGATGCGGATGCGGTTAATGACGATGACTGAATAGATCCTTTGCACTGAGTTCCATATGTTCATTACGTGTTATAGAGACATTTGCTGTCACTCATGAGAAGGACGATGATTTTTGTCAAGTTCACTCAATACAGAAAGCGGTATAACTGGATGAATCAAGTTCCTGTGACTCATACACCACATAGAAGCACCAATGGAAAACATGCCAGCGGACATCGATGGTGAAGTCCGAGACTTCCAGGTGGGAATGAGAACCAAAGAAAAGCCACTAAATGAGTTCTCCTGCTAAATTCTCGTAGTCTCTTGAAAATGCCCTATGCGCCGCACGCCCTTCCAGTGGCATCACCATCTGTCAGACCTGTGATCTCGTCTCATCGCTCGATAAATTCCACTGCAACACCCTCGCTAGCATACCAGCCACGAATTTGCCACTGAGAGTATTGTCAGCAAATGGTCGCTTCAAATGTGAGGGCTTTGTTCCAGACTCACATGCACAGCCAAACGCCGGGATTCTCCATTTTTGAAGCCATGGCAAGATATGTCGAAACTGGTAGCATGATGGTATCACGGCGAGCATTCTCCAGTTACTTAAGCCAGAACATAGAAGTTGTGACTATGAAGATGGATATAAGGTAGTAATATCTGACGTCAGATAACAAGAGAAAGATGTGATCAATCCCACGGGAAGTGGAGGATACATATGCGCGTGGCATAAATATATAACGCGGTGTTGACGACAATGTAAACCCACTTATCTGCGTCGGGCAACTCGAAAGCAGAGTTATGAGGCTTACATTGAGCTCCCCTTTCAGGAATCTGCGCAAGTGTTAAGTTGCTTGAGCAACCCAACTAATGATTAATATGATGTCAGATTGTATTATATGGTCGGATGCTAGGAAATGCCACATTACCTCCCATGGAAGTGCTACTCCGTATTAAGCCTCCACTTGAAAAAACCGGCCACCTCGATAACACTAGTTTCTTCAATGGCAGGAGTTGAAGGATCACCAGCGGAATATGACACAATATTGTGTGTCTCGTCGCTGCGAGAATGCGAGTGATTTCAAGCGTTTGCCTTGGATGTGGACGCTGTGTTGGCGTGAGTATAAATAGTTTCTAATACATGGATTCGAAATCCACAAGCATTTTCTTGTGATGCTTGTTTAATGCTAGATTTGCCCCGAACGTGGAAACCTCAACAGCCGTTTTAATCTCAAGATCTGGGCTGAAATCCAGAGTCTCTGGTTGTGCTTCAAGAGGAAAGAGGCTGCCTGGCCTTCGTCTTGAGCCAGTAAAATTACTGTAGTCAAGACACGGTAGATGACCATGGCGCCCGATGAAGCGATTTGACGTTCATGCTTGAGGATTGACTCAGGGAAAGACGCATGTGTTACATGTGTTGAAGGCGGCATCCGAATCTGTGGAAATCTAACCCTGGGCCCATTGATGGGCCTTGTTGGCTCCATCATATCTCCAACATGATATGGAACGCTTGCACAGATCTCGGTCACAATGTTCTCTGCCCGTAATACTATGTTGTGTGCAGGGTGAGAGGTAATATTTGCCGAGCATTGGCAAAGAAGTAGAAGAACATGGAGCTCGATCAAGCGATGCCAGTTCCGCGTCGCTGCAACTGAGAAGTTGATGTACACATCGCACGATTCGTCATATAAGCCTGCCGCTTGTATTGTCTCAGCAATTGCATCGCCATTCACCCTCACTGGGTGCCAATGGTCCGGGAGACTGTTAATCCACCGTGTGCAGTCCGCCGCGAGTGTAGCGGCCTGAGTCAGAAAAGAAGGGCCTCTTTCGTTTTCTGCCCCCTCAACGACTGCTGCGCTTGTTTTACCCTCTGATCGCATTAAATTTGACAACTTGGAGACCCGAAAGGCCAGCCTATCCACCTCGATTGCTGGGTTGGCCGGCATCCGCTCGTCAGCTTGTTGGAACAAGGTGGGCAATTCCGGAATATTTCGACGGCTTAATATCGCATCAGCTATTATTTTATTTCGAGCTGCGAGCATTATGCGCCGCGACACGTCATCTCGATAATTCATCTCGCCCCTATGTTTTAATAGCGCCATCGAGCCTGAGAGATGTACACTTGCTCTTGGCCCGTGTTGGTATTTCGCACTAATATCATCATAAACTTCCAAAATCAGTGCAGTCATTAGGAGCTCATCGGACTTGTTCTTGGTTGGATCCTTGATCGCCTCCTTTGTGCATGTCACAGCCTCGGCGTAGCGGCGATGTGCAGGCACTAGATTAGCATCGTGTTGACTCCAGAGCCCGGCGATTTTAATGGCAAGTGCACATGTAGCGAAGAATAGAGGAGACCGCTGGGTGCATTCAGCATACAGGTCCCCGATAATAGCGAATAATGAGCATGTGCCATCTTTGCCTCCGTTGGAGCCATACGCTTGAAAGAAGAAGCTCAGCGAAAGATATTCGAAATCTAACGGTGGTGGCAGGACGATAGAGGGAGAAGTGATCGGAGATGATGTCGAATCTACTTGGTCTTTGAGGGAAGCCTTTGCAGAATCACTGCTTTCTGGCACAAGTATGTTAGTGCAGCGAGAATGTCCACCATTTCGCCCAACCACTTTGCGTGTTTCGCTTCGGTGCCGTCTCTCAAAGACATCCTTATACCCCGGACACCTCACCCTCAACTTCAAGCAATTGCCACAGCCTGGGGTATTCTCGTCACACTGTCAAATATTAGTACTAGGTCTAATACCTTTCGGTCAACATGCTAATGATAATTACCTTGACGCGACGTTTTCGACAGGTCGAGCAGCCGCTGCTAGGCCCTCTATATACCATGCTAAATGTTTCCGGATGTTGTGGCTTCTTATGGTGCTATTCAGCTGCGTTGGTGTTTAACGAAGGAATTCAATTGCAGCTTCGAGTCCTTGTCGCTCTAATGACAGCCAATATTTTCAGTTTCTTTCTATTATGTAAGAAGCCACTATTATCAATTTAATTAGTAGCACCGCCGTCGCAAGGATGCCCCTATTACGGTTTAGAGCGAGCTGGGTATAGTCTCAATGCGACAGGACTGGCCCCTGAATTATGGACCCAGGATTTATTTGGTTAGCACGCTGCTCGCAAGCCTATACCGCATGTAGCCTTCAGCATTATCTAGCCTTCAAGTCAGCTAACACCTGGGTTGCTGTTTCGCAAGGGTATGCTGAGAACTGGTGATTCTTGCGAAGTCTTTCAATCTTGATACTAAGCCGAGGTCCATCTTATTCTCGTCTCGCAACACCTGCTACATTGGCAACTACTGGAGTATAATGTGCAAGAATAACCTATTGCCTCCAAGGGGACTAGAGTGACTATAAGAGACCCGGCATCCTCGCTGATTTCTGTTCAATGTCTAAAACATCTATTCAACTCAATCAAACCAATATATTTCTGATATTACTCTTATTAAAATCGAACTTCACCATGCAATATTATCACCTCCTTGGTCTTGTAGCCGTGGCATACGGAGCGGCTTGTGTCAATTACCCTGCCATTGATGGCGATATAGTCCACGGTCACGTTGAGCTGATTGACGATCCTCTCCGTCATTTCGACTCTATGATGATCCCAGTCTATAACGACTCAGCCATTGAAGACTGGTCCCATGATGCCGTTTCGGCAGATGGCTTGACTGGCATGGCTTTCACCTCCAGCCGCGGGTCGATTGGAGGAATTCCTGGAGCGCTCCGTGTTTTCCTCTCCGTGGTATGGCCGAATGGTACCCGCTATATGGAAAATGTTTTCACTGAAGAGTCAAACATCGAATCCTGCTCAGACAAGACGATCGGGCGCTGGTTCAACACCAGTGCTGACGTAGAATGGAAGTTCGACTATACGACTAACTTCAAGAATACACTGGTCACGGTTAACTCGCCCACGGTTACTGGCACAATTAAAATGAAGTCACTCGTTCCGGCTCTGTACCCGAACGGGTTAGAGTTCCCCAACCCTAATGGCAACACACTCTTTGCACCACTGCTATACTGGGTGGAGAGCGTTCCCGCTGGAACTGTTGAGGCCAATTTGACTATTCTTGGTACACCCTTTACGCTGCAGGGATTCGGCGGTCGAGAGCGTAACTGGCTGCCTTTATCTTGGGCAGACACCAGCGCCAGTTGGGATATGGTGCGAGGCGTTGTTGGGCCCTACAGATACATCGGATGGGTACACCAATCCAAGTTCAATGGTACTCAGTACAGTATGGTTCTACTAGAGGGGGAGAAGGTTGTGTTTCGAACACAAAGTCTTACGCCATCCAACAAAGAATCGTGGGGGACAATAACTAAAACGTACAACGGCACTGTCCATCTGACTTCATCTCCCGACGACACGGTTAAGCTCCCGGAATCCACCTTCAGTGGCTATACCATCGAAATGGTTTCCCCCCTTACGGGGAAACATTGGAAATTTTCTGTCGCATTCACACAGACTGTGTATTGGTTTCGAGCAGGTCGTAACGCCCTCATAGGCGGGTTCACTGCCAATGCCAAGGGCGGTCTCGCTGGTGGGTGCCAGTATTCAGGCCTGAGCTCTGGCAACCTTCAGGAAACTATTACGTTATAAGACTTCGAGATTGGAAATAATCTACAGCAAGATCTCTCCGGGGATAACTCAATGAACTTGATTGCACAATATGTATAGGATGAGATGCGTATCGATGACTGCCCCCTAGAACTTAGTACTTATTAGGTATCACTATCTATGTAGCAGTGGAATAGTTCTTAAAAAATACCTCCCCCAACTCTCTCCTACATCGAGAAACGAATCATCTCCATTTGCATGAATATGAAATAACATGAATAGCTCGAGTACCCCGAGTGAAATTAATGTTTTACCACCCTTTATCCAAGGAGTAGTATGTTCTGATTTATTATATGACTTAGCAACCTATGACTTGCCTAATTATCTAGAGCGGAAAGCCCGGGGGCGATCATTGATTAGGATAACTATATAAGCAATATATTAAAAAAGTAGAGTTATACTGTAACCGGGATCGATTGCTTCGCTTGGCTATATTTCCACTTACTAAAACCATATAGCCCGCTAGCCCGGACACAAACTATTTCCGAGTATTGGATATTAGCGGAAACTTTCGCAATAATTCACGATTGTATGCAATCGACTAATCAAGCATCTTATTAACCTGAGGACTCAAATTACTTCCGATAAGTGAAATCAACCCGTTCTGTTTTAGGAAAGGTCTCGGGTTCGGGCTCCTCGGACTAGTCCGGGATATACATGGCATAGGTACATCTAGGACTATGACAAAGCACAGCAGTAAGGACTAAGAAGACGTCCGACTTGGTGCGCTTCGATAGCGATTGTTAACCCTTGTAGAGCTGTAAATCTATGCCCGAGGAATGAAATCTATCCTTTCTCTAGTTAGCCTGAGAGATGTCCTTTCTAAATATGGATCGGCAAGTTGTGAATAGGTATAGACATAAAGGTTAAATCTTGTAGACCATATGAAAGAATCAAAGGAAGAACGGAGATCTTAGGAAGTACTATTGTTTCACGTGTAGAACAAGTAAAATTAATCACACGCCTGGCAAAGCTTTTGCTGTCTTCAGCATAGCTCCTTCAGATGGCGTCAACCTGGTATGAGACCAGTCGCGACCCCTTGACAGTGCACTTCAGATATGTCCCCAGATAGGTCTCGGCTGATAAAGTTCCTCGAGATACTGCTCCTCGTCGCTCTCTAGACATTTTCCGTTACTTCCAATAGCCTCATCGAGTCTTTTTAAGCTGCTGCATCCGATAATAGGGCTTGTGACCCTCTTGTTAATCCAGGCAAGTGCAATGTGAGCCATCGGCCATTCGTGTTTTTTTGCAAGCTCTTCCACCCGTCCAATAATTTTGATATCGACTTCAGAGGAACCAAGTCCCCCACTCGTGAGGTCAGTCTCAGTGGAGGTACTCGTCGTGGAGCTAGACGGGGGCCGGGCGAGATAGGCACGGCACAAAGGGGCCCAAGGAATAAGTCCCACACCTGTTTCATTACAGAAGCGAATCATCTCATGTTCTTCCTCCCGATAAAGTAAGTTATACTGGTCCTGCATGCTAACAAATTTCGTCCAGCCGTTTTGTTCCGCGCAAAACTGAAGCCTAGCGAATTGTGTTGCCCACATGCTACTGGCGCCAATGTAATGGACCTTGCCTGATTGAACAAGATCGTGAAGAGCTTTCAGAGTTTCCTCGATAGGTACCGAATTATCATAGCGGTGGATTTGTAGCAGGTCAATATATGTAGTGCCTAGTCGCTTCAATGAAGCTTCGACTTGGTTGAAAATTGCTGTACGCGAGAGGCCAAATTGGTTTTGATAATCCTTGCTTCTTTCAAACTCGGAGTAAAACGCAAATTGCTGCTCCTCTACATTGACCGTTAGGGTTACTCGGATTGAAACGAGGATCGGTCATCCCAGGAGTTTCGCCCACGGCAAAATTGCACTTGGTGAGAATTACCACCTTCTCACGAGGGATACCAAATTGTTGTAAGGCTTTACCAATGATACGCTCGGAAGCACCATTTGAATAAGAGTTGGCTGTATCCCAGGTGTTGAGCCCCCTATCATAGGCTGCCTTGAGCAACGGCAGCGCCTATCAATAAACCATCAGGAGTTGCAAACTGTGCGCCTACAGTCAGACGTACCTTATCTTCGTCGAGTGCCCATGGAATAGCCTGGGAGTCGCCGAAACCCATGCAGCCCAAGATGGGTACAGATACGCGAAGTCCAGATTTGCCAAGTTGGCGATACTCGACTTTCGTATCGTCTAAAGACTCTTGCAGCCGATCGGGGAGCTGAAGACTGGTCATTGTAGCTATATGATGTTGGATGCCACGGATACTGAATGCTGTACTAAGAGTCAGGGAGTTTATGCAATATTTCATAGCATGAGAATTATTTATATTTTGCTAAGTTGGAGTGACATACTTATACCGGATAGGCCTCCCAGTGGGTTTTGGAGGTGCCCGATGGTATTGGATAGGCCACTGTACGTTGAAATCAAGCTTATGTGCCATACCAAGTACCAAATCTGCCTCTCGAAGGAACTGCCTTGCCACCAGCACAATATCTGCCTTAGGATCCTCGTCCTCTTGAACCAATGATCTTGCAAACCTACTATCCCTAACAGACCTACGGCGGCAATTAACAAGTTGTGGCCATCAGCATGCACCGTATTACATATACGGCCGGCGATATCCGTTTGCAAGGTTTGAGATATCTGGTTGTATTGTGCTGCGGTATTACTACTAGTTATTATATCAAGTATATTAAAGCCTGCGGCTGGGAGGAGTTTGGTAAGCTGAATGCTATTTTTAATATCCTAAGAAGGCTCTTCTGAATACTCAAGTAAATTAGTAGCCGAGAGATAGGCCTAGAGCAGTATTAATATAGGAATAGCCTAGTGAATAGATTTAATAATCTTAAATAGAAAACGGGTACTATTTTTAAAACTACCGCTGTACTTATTAGTATATTTCTAAAGTTCTCTTTAGGTATAAAATCTTAGTAATATATAGTATTCCTATAGAGTAGGTTATATACTTATATTTATAATAGAAGATAAGAAATTATTTAGAAGAGCGCTATAAGAAGTATAGATTTTAAGTATATTAATTCCTGCTTTAATAGTATATATAGTAGTGTCCTTCTACTTTTAGATCTATTCCTTGATTATCTGAATAGTTAACTGTTTTTATACAGTATAATTATCCGCCTATAGGATTAAGCTCGGGCTAACTATATTATCTGGCTAACTACTAATATCCTCAGTTGCCAGCGACTTATTAGTACCGCTCGTCTATATTAGTAGGTGTAACGGTTGGGTTGACTTATACTGGACGAGGTCTAGGGTAGGTCAGGGTTAAACTAATCAGAGTATTATTCTGAGTAGTATAATCAGATTATCTTAGGCTGTATAATATAAGTTACTATTAATATATAAGTATTATAAAGCTAGTAATAATAGATATATAGATAATATTATTAATAACTATCTGAAAGGGTATTCTATCTAATAAAATAGATATATATATATACTAGAGGATTATTAATACTTAGTAATAATCTGTTATCCTAGATTATTAGGATTATTATAAGATCCTAATAATCTACTAGAGATTAGTTAGAAAAGGTAGGGTAATCTATATAACTTTAATATATAATAATATAATTTATAATATAAGATTCTCTCTCTATTAGTTATATACTTAAGACTATATTCTGCAGCCTATTAGTAAGTCTTTTCTAATTTAATCCTATATTCCCCTTATAGTCTATAATAATATCTAACTATATATAGAAAACTTCTTATAAGAAGACCCTTTAGTATAATACCCTTATTAATACTATTCTATTAAATCCTTTAGTAATATAATCAGAGTATAGCTATTATAAGTCCTATAGTTATAAATACTTTAGATTAGAGGATTCTTTATCTTATTATTTTTACTATATAAAAAATAATTAACTATATTATAATACTTAAGGCCTTATACTAGAATAGCTAAGATATATTACTAATTAGTATAATAAGCTGGAGTTCAAGCTAGAGATAGTAGAAAAGGAGTATTATTATATAGATATAAAAATCTAGTATCTTTATTAATAAAAGAAATTATAGTTAGATAAGATAATACAGGTGGTATCTTATAGTATTAATAGTATAGAGGAACTGAAGTATATTAAATAAAAGAAAGCAGAAGAAGTAGCCTAAAAGCAGTTTTTATCTCTAACTATATCTTTATCCGAGCCTGTATTTTCAGAGATTAAGATTAATCTAATATTCCTTTAGGAGGGTATAGAACTATCTTCTTCTTAGTTTATTAGAATAGGTATTTCTAGTCCTGATAATACTACTAAATAAGCTACTAATAATTCTTTAAGTACTTAATAGGTTTCTAAGTATTATCCTTATTAGTATACCCCTTCTATTTTACTAAGTAAAAGATTTATCTATTTCTAACTTTCTTTTTTAGAATTTTTTCTAGTTTAAATTCTTCTTTATAGACTTTAATCAGATAATCTTAGTTTAGTATATTATCTAGTATTTTCTTAAGTAATAAGATATAAAAAACTAGGTAGATATATATTATATCTAGTAATAAGAGTTTATAGTTAGTATCTGATTTTTTCTTAAGAATTTTAAATAATCTAAGTTTTTTATAATCTAATTTATTATTTAGCTTTATTATTATAATATTTTTATAAAGTAGATAGATTTTATCTTCCTCCTTTAAGATTAGTTCTTCTAATCTGTTTTTATTATAGTATTTTTTTATTTTTTATTAAATAAATTTAAGTTCTATTTTTATTTCTATATATAATAAATATAGTATTTCTTTTATAAGTATAGTAATAGGTATATCTAGTCTATTAAGTTCTAGTTAGTTCTAGAATTACAGTTTATAGCTATAATTTATATATATAGATATAAGCTAGGTAGATTCTTATACTGAACTATTATATATAATCTGTACTATAGATAATAGTTATACCTAATTATTTTATTTATAATTAATATATACTTATAGATATTATTCCAGAGTTTAATTTAATTATTCTATTTAATTATTACTTTATAGGTAATAAACTATTAAGAGCTTATATTTTATATCTATTTATACTATTAGTAATTACTAAAACTTAGAGGTAAATATTATTCCTCTATCTAATATAATCTTATCAGGTAGTTTATAGTAGCTAACTATATATTATAAAAACTAGTATATAAGGTCTTCTATAGAGCTTACTTCCTTATATAGGATAAAGTATCTATACTTTATAAGTCTATTAATAACTATTAGAATACTATTATATTCTACTTTAGTTATAGATTCTTTTAATAATAGTAGTTTAATAATATAATTAAAGGATATTAATTACTATAGTTATTCTAGTACTAGAACTAGTTTAAGTTCTCTATAGGGTTTATATTATATAGACTTAATTCTTATATAAGTATTATATTCTAAAACTATAGTCTATATATTCTTTTTTAGATCTAGATAATTATAATATTATCTAATCCTATTAAATATTTTCTTAACTCCTTAGTATCCTAAGAGCAGGTACTTATAGATTTCTTTAATAAGTACTATTCTTACTT